CACGCACGCATACACACACCAGCAAATGGAAGTGGGTCCCAGTAAGGACTGGCCACAGGGCTTCTGCTTTGATGAATGGGTCACAAGCAGCAGAGCCACCAGCACTTTTCCTTCTCCTTTGTTTGTCCTGTAGAAAGCAGCCTCTCTCTGAATGATGGCTGAGGAACCTCGGTAGCTGTGCAGGGGTGTGAGGCTATAGGTTTGCTCTGGCCCGGAGTGCAGTCATGCCCACCAGGCTTCACGTTTCCTTGAAATGTGGGATCTAGTATTCCTTCCATCTTAGTCCTAACAGGGCTTACTGATCATTAAAAAAGGAACTTGGAAGCTTAAAAAATGATCTTGTTGGTAGAACATGTTTGCTGCCCATCTCTAGAAGAGAGATGGCTAATTCTAAACATCTTGTGACACTCTGCTGCTCTCCGCTCACCTGAGTCCCAGGCACCTACCTACCTATGAGCCTTTCTTATAAAAACACCTTCCATTTGCAATCAATTAATTCTGGATCAGTTCCAGTCAAGGGCCTGAGGCTTAGTTCTGAGAAAACACTGTATGTTCAGGACTTTCCACATTGCAATATTCCAAATCATAATTCCTAATACCACCACAACCCGAGCAAATGCTGTCAATGGCATTGCTCAGCTCTAGCCTCTCTATCATATATTCAGAGTGATTTGAAAACTGAACTGAAAAAGCAAGTTAAGTCAATAGCGTCCATGATGAATGGAATAAAAGCTGTTTGCCCTTTAAAAGAAAGCACTTAAAAAGGAGGAAGGGAGAGAAAAATGAAAGAAGAAAACCCAGTTGAAACATGGCATTTACTTGAAGAGGAGCCAGCAGAAGTGGTGCATAGGGTTTCACAGCACAGAGGGCAGGCGATGATCAGAAGGCTTCATTGGCACTATTAAATTTCTTTGATGGCAACCTTGGCTGGGAAGGCAAGGCACAAAAGTTGCATTCAGGGTTCTGAGGACCAAGAGGTGATGTCTGTAAACTTACAGGGATAGAACGGCTCAAGAATCTCGCTGAAGAGGAAGAAAGCCCGGTGTAGGAGGGCCGGAGGATGGTGGCATGCTCCTCGGTCTTGGCGCTGTGGGGGCCCAGGTGGCTGTTGAGGTTGCCCCCACTGCTGCTGCTGCTGCTGTTGCTTCTGTTGTACTGGTTATTGTTGAGCTCAGGGTAATTTCTGGCAGGTGGCTGGGAGGTGCCATTCAAGAGGTTGGTGAACGGGCTGGCTGTGAAACCTGCCTTAGAGGATGAGGAGGTCTTTTTGTTCTCAGGATCATCTGTTGCAGCATTCAAGTTTCCTAGAGAACTGGCTAGCCGGGAGTTTATGGAAAAGCTGGACAGAAAACAAAGATGAGGAGGGAAAGAAAAAAAACTCAGGCAGCGATGTGTACTCACGCTGAGCTTGTGCTTCTAGGACACGTTCAGAACATTAGGGGAATATGATGGAGAGGATTCTGGTCAGTACAAATGATGACACATGGCCTCTTTTATTCCCCTCAGGGACATGAAAATATGTGCCCTTCACTTACACATGCCAAGTTCCTTGGTTAAAAGTTATTAACTAAGACCCAAGAAGCTGGGCTAACACTTTGACTAGAGATCCTGGAATACAACTGGGGGTTCTATTTGTCCTGACACAGGAAATAAATGAAAAGTAAATATAAGGGGAGATTTAAGAGCAGACTTAGAATATTATTTAACTCATGCATACTTAAGCCCTCAGCTACATCAAACACCCCTACCCTTTTAGTCCGTTCTCACCTGCTTACATATATCAGGTGAGAAATGATACTACCCCTTCTCATCTGTATGTGCAACTGAACTCCATTTTCTAGATCACACTAAGCAAGCTAGACATTCACTGACATTCTCTAGATGGATGGGACCCTCTACGATATTCCCTCCATCACCTTGTACCCTGCAAGCAAGATAGAAACAGAAGCCCTAGGAGATCAGAGTCTTTGGGGGGTTGTCCTATTCTCCCTTGTCCCCTCCTCTAGCAAAACTACAGGGAAACCCATCACCTGCTGTAGACCTCCTTTTACCTCAAGCCAGTACCTCGGAAAGGGACATAAAAAATTACCTTCTCACGCTGGTGCCTGAAGATGAACCTCTGCTTATCCTTTTGGCCGTTGCTGAAGGGGCCAAAGCCACTTTTGAAGACTTCAAAGTAGACACAGATCCTTGTGGGGAAGAACTTAATCTTTGTGGGAAACAAATGGACAGAGTGTCACACTAAAGCTGTTTTATGTTTATGTTAAATATGCACTAATGATCTAGGACAATAAATTAAAGAACCTTAATTATGTCATGCTCACCACCACCCCAGGAGGCAGCTGATTATACCACCCACCACCAAGAAAGGAGACAGAGCCCAAAGGAAAGGTTCTTCCTCCAAGTCACCCAGTTGGCAAAGTGCCACGCTGGGATTCAAATTCATGATCCTGCTGTCCCTGTCACTTCTCTACCTTCCCACTGCATTCATACAGCAGCAGATCCTTGGTCCCACTCAGATCCATCCCTCCCTTTCCAGCCCACAACTGCCAAGGCAAGCCCTCATTATCTCTTAGCCTCAATTGTTAGTGAGGGAGAATAGGTAAATTAAAAAAAAAATAGGTAAGAAGGAAGCTGGACTCAGTGGTGCATGCCTGTAATCCCAGCGGCTTGGGAGTCTGAGGCAGGAGGATTGAGAGTTTAAAGCCAGCCTCAGCAAAGGCGAGGCTCTAAATAACTCAGTGAGAACCCCATCTCCAAATAAAATACACAATAGGGCTGGGGATGAGGCTCAGTGGTCGAGTGCCCAGT